ATTGTCAGGAATGAGCCAGCTCCAAGAGAAGGCTTGCAACCAGTGGCAGAAAACAGCCAGGAACAGAGAGGCTTAGATGTTAGTCAAGGCAGGGGAGAGCTGGCAGCTGCAGACTTCGGCTGTTTCTGACCTTGATGGGCTGGCTGATAAGGCAGTAGTTGAGAGCAGACTGGAACACAGCCAAAGCTCATAGGAAGCACAAAAAGGCGTGAACAGTCTCAGATACAGCCTCTCAGAATGGGAAGAGGTTGGAGCTGATCCACTAAGTCCGAAGAGTTGGCGAATGGGAGGGCTGCTAGATAAGAAGCAAAACAAGAGACATAAAGGTTGGAAGTTCAATATCTTCTGTAGACACAGGAAGGAGTCTTCAGAAGGGTCATCTTGAGTAATGATGCCAGAGGCTTTGTTAGAGCTGTCCGGAGATATCTGTTTGTTTTTGCAACAAATCCTCCTTTTTAATTACCTATGCTTACTGTGTTATCAAGCTGGGAACCTGGACTCCTGACACCCATGTGCCCGCCAGTAACTCCTAGGACGCCTGCAAAAGGTCTAAGTGAATATCCCATCAAAAATCTACAATGCAGTTTGCTCTTCCTGCTCAGTTCCTGTTTGCACTTGTTCAGCCTCTTCTGCATCAAACACCCCCCCCTTAAACATAAATTAGTTTGGAGATGGTATTTAACACCAGTCAGATTAAATCAAATAAACAAGGAATATTCAGTGTTACATTGGAGGGGATGCCAGGAAACCGGGAATTACGTTCACATGTGGTGGGGGGTGTAAATATGTACATTTTTTCTGGCAAAGGGTGCTTAAGGAGATAACAGAAATCACTGGATTAAAGCTGACCAAAAGTTCAGAGGTAACATTATTATCAATTTACGATGGGGTGGAAGGTTCGCGGGCTAGGAAGGACTTGTTCACAAATTTATTGACAGCTGCACAAATTATGATAGCTAGGAAGTGGAAGGGGCAAGCAGAATATAAAATGGTACAAAGAGGTGTGGGATATAGCTATTAATGATAAATTAGCATGTGCCATTAAGGTAAGGCGGGGAATACGCAGGATAAATTATTTTGAGGAGAAATGGAAGGTGTTGTAGAATTTGTACTGTTAAAACAGAAAGGGGTCAAACCATCACAAGAGGTGTTGAAATTTTGGGAGATTGGATAGTTACAATGGAATGGTCTTGGTGGTGGGGTGCACATTTTAATTCTTATTTATTTATTTATGATTATTACTTTGTCAAAATAATAAAATAAAATAAAGAAGAAGAAGCAAAAACATGCATCCATGTGCCATTTTACAATTCTGTGTCTTTTCTTGCTCTTTTAGATGTGGCAGCCATTTTGTGACTGGTGCCCATGGCACTTTCTCAAAATTAAAAATGTGCCCACTGGTGCCAGCTTAAAGCGTCAAGGCCTGATTTCTTAGCCTAGGATAAAAACCCTTCTGTTTTCACCTCCAAACCTTTCAGGGGAGCATTTGCAACAGTTTGGCACCATTTTTTAGTGAATTGCATAACGTCAGATTTTTTTTGTGAAATTCTGACCCCGCGGGTTAGGGATATTTTCAAAAAAAGGTTGGTTGGTTGCGCTAGTGACTCATAATATCTCCCTGGTTGTCATCATCTCTGGTGCCTCAGATCAATAGGGCGACAGAAGAGAAAGAGAGACCAAGAGAGATTCCTTTTGGACACCCTTTTCCAATCCATCCATCCATCTATCTATTTACCGTATACCCACACAAACAAAACACACATAATATGGACTGTTTCAAATCTAATAAACGGCATTGCTTTTAAACCATCAAGATGACTGGACAAAGTGCTTTAGGGCAATTACAGGGGTTGTGAGATTTAGTCAATCCCTGGACCCTGTTTTGCAGTTGGGTCAAAGAGATTAGCCAAGCTGCGCAAGCAGCTTTGAAGGATAACCAGCGGGGCGAAAGGTCTTGTGTCAAAACCATGGTTCCAATTTGTGGGTCTCCTCAAAGCATTTGTTCAGTTGCTTGCGCCCACCCAACCCGCACTGATCCTGTATCGCACATGTACGCACCTCTCACCTTCACCGCAATCACAGGCTCAGACTGAAGCTTAGAAACCAGACTCTATTGATTAGAGCTGATTTGCTGATTTGCAACTTCTGACCTCTTGGGGTTAGATCGTGAACTCTAACCAAAAGCGAGTGCGTGCATCTGCGTGGAAGATTAACAAGAAGCCAAAGGGCTGGAGGAGGCAGAGACAGAGGGGGGGGGGGGATAGTTGAAAGAAGGGAGTTAAGCAAGAAAATATTTATTACCAAGCAGTCCCATAGCAACTTGGAAACAAAACACTTTGGTAAGCAGGTGAAGATGGTAAAGTGACTCATCGCCCAGATTCTGCCTGTGGGCATCACTCATGGCTGACCAAGGATCTGAGGAACCTGCAATTCCAATATGTAGGGTACGCCCACAGGGATATCCTGCTTCACTAAGAACTAGGGGTTAGGGAGAAATTCATTTCGGTTCACATTTAAAGGCAAACTAAATTGCACTTTCTGGAACAATGCACCAAACTTCAAAATCTGCACTTCTCTGAATTTTGTGATGCCATTCTCCAAACATGTAATGTGTACAGAAACATGTACATTGGAGTATAATGACTGCATATAAATGCAGGTGGCGCTGTGGTCTAAACCACTGAGCCTCTTGGGCTTGCTGATCAGAAGGTCAGTGGTTCGAATCCCCACAACGGGGTGAGATCCCATTGCTCTGTCCTGGCTCCTGCCAACCTAGCAGTTCAAAAGCACGCCAGTGCTAGTAGATAAATAGGTACCGCTGTGGCGGGAAGGTAAATGGCATTTCCGTGCGCTCCGGTTTCCCTCACGGTGTCCCATTGCGCCAGAAGTGGTTTTGTCATGCTGGCCACATGACCTGGAAAGCTGTCTGTGGACAAATGCCAGCTCCCTCGGTCTGAAAGCAAGATGAGTGCCGCAAGCCCATAGTCGCCTTTGAATGGACTTAACCGTCCAGGGGTCCTTTACCTTTTTACCTTTATAAATGCATATACCATTGAAAATAACATGCATAAAGAAACGCATTGTATTAGGTGAAATTGCTTTGCAAAATGTGTACATTAGGCAAAACTGCATAGAAAAATGTCTGTCCTGGGATAAATTCACAATAAAGCACAGCGTGTTTTTTTTCCATAATGCAAACTAATTTGGAAATGTGGAGAAGTGAATTTAAGATTGAAAAATGAGAATCTTGAGAGAAATCAAGTTTGACAGATTCACCCATCTCTACTAAGAACAGAGGATTACATCATTTGACCAGGCATTAACTTTGAGCTACGGCTTAGTCTCAAATAGGTTATGGTTTTCAATGTCAGGGATCCAAACATGATGTATGGAGTGAATTTTTCAGCAAAGGCAGGCTGTTTTCCTGTTCCATTGGTTAACCACAGCCTACTAGGTCTGAGAGGGGAGAGCAGGCATCTTCCAAGTCAGAAAATACTTTAACTGGAATCAAATTGACACCTAGAACACATGCAGCACCTCTGAGCATAGAGAGCCTCTGAGCATGTGAAGAGTGCTTTTCCCTCACACCAAGACAGCGCCCTATTCTCATTACAGAACATTATTTTTAAGGTTAAATAGTGCGACTTCCAGTTGTTATCAAGCCTCTGCAGGGCTTAGATTTGCCGATGTTGTTAAACAAATTAATAACTGGCTTTTTGAAGCTTTATAGATACAGTAAGTTGTCTGGGAAGAAGCTAATACCAAGCACTTGACATCCCGAAGCCTGCAAAAAATATGCAGGTTTGCAAAGAGGAGGTGAAAATGAGAAGGGAAAAGGCCGGGTGGTGTTTTAACATCCACCCTAATCTCCTTATCTAAAGGGCCAGCCAAGGAGGTGTGAAAGTTCAGTTTCTGGGACCCACCTCTTGGCAAAAGGGAAACGAAAACTCATTAGAGTGTTTGTTCTCAAAACAGGCCCCCGGGCCATCTCTGCTTCGCCAGAAAACTGAGACTCACAAAGCTGATCCCCACAAATCAGCAAAACGTCCATGTTGCTTAAATGGAGGCAGATGGACTGTATCCGTCCGGCGGGCCTCTCTAGGAGTGCCAGAGCCCCTGCAGCTGACAGGAGTCAGGAGCTTTGGGGAAGAGTGTACCCAGATTTTGACAGCTCTGGCTCTTGCGAGGGAGAACAAGGCAAGGCAGTTTTGTGCCTCAAACCGTACCCCAAAGTGGTGGCTGACAGGCAGTAGGGGTGGAATTGTGCAAAGATGCTCTGCCAACTCTAAACAATGGTCTAAGACATGGGTAGGCAAGCTAAGGCCCGGGGGCCGGATCCGGCCCAATCGCCTTCTCAATCTGGCCCACGGACGGTCCGGGAATCAGTGTGTTTTCACATGAGGAGAATGTGCCCTTTTATTTAAAACACATCTCTGGGTTATTTGTGGGGCCTGCCTGGTGTTTTTACATGAGTAGAATGTGTGCTTCTATTTAAAATGCATCTCTGGGTTATTTGTGGGGCATAGGAATTCTTTTTTCCCCCGCTCCAAAATATAGTCCGGCCCCCCACAAGGTCTGAGGGACAGTGGACCGGCCCCCTGCTGAAAAAGTTTGCTGACCCCTGGACTCTAGGAAGAATGAGATCCAAGCAGTGCGGCCAAGAATCCCAGCCCACTGCTGAAAACATTTAATTGACAGGCTTCCTCGCTGCCATGAGGATGTGCAAACGTAAAGCAGGCTCTCGCCAAATAAAAATGAGCGCTTTCAACATTTACATACCTTAAACTTAAATTTGAGGGTTGTTTTTAAAGATGTGCTGAATCAGAGGTGGGGAAACCTGTAGACCTCCAGTTATTTCTGTAATGTAACTCTCCCCACCCCTCCCCAGGCATTGGCCATGCTGAATGGGGTTGATGGTTGCTCCTAGAATTGTAGAACTGTAGAATTGGAAGGGACCCTGCGGGTCATCTAGCCCAACCCCCCGCAAGGCAGGAATCTTTTGCCCAAGGTGGGGCTCGAACCCACAACCCTGAGATTAAGAGTCTCGTGCTCTACCGACTGAGCTATCCACAGGGACAACAGTCCAAGACAGGCATAGGCAAACTTGGCCCTCCAGATGTTTTGGGACTACAACTCCCATCATCCCTGACCACTGGTCCTGCTAGCTAGGGACGATGGGAGTTGTAGTGCCAAAACATCTGGAGGGCAGAGCTTGCCTATGCCTGGTCCAAGAGTATCTGGAGGGCTACAGATTTCCCCATCTCTACCCTAAATAGCTTCAGTCTCATGGGAGGCCTTCTGGGAAGAGATGCATTCTCCAAATTAATGACTGTGCTGCAGGCAAGAAGGGCCTGCTCCATGAGTGTTATTCAGCAAAGCTCCAGGTAAGGGTTTCTCTCCTCTCTTTGTAGGTGTAGAATCACAGAATTGGAGAGTTGGAAGGGACCCCCAAGGATCATCTAGCTCAACCCGCTGGAATCGAAGCAACATATCAGCTGTTTGCTTAAGGCAACTTCTCTAGCCCAGCTCACAAGGGACTTTTGGGTTAAATTTTTGGAGTGAGAATCACTTTTTGCTCTCTGATGGGGTTTTCCCATTAAAAAAGAAAAAAGAAACAGAATTTGTATACTGCTTAATACATTCATATTGTCGATAAAACACAAATTGGGATTAAATAATTTAAAATAATTTAATTTATAATTTGAATGATGTTTCTGGAGGAGACTCTTGAGAGTCCCATGGACTGCAAGAAGATCACACCTATCCATTCTGATGGAAATCAGCCCTGAGTGCTCACTGGAAGGACAGATCCTGAAGCTGAAGCTCCAGTACTTTGGCCACCTCATGAGAAGAGAAGACTCCCTGGAAAAGACCCTGATGTTGGGAAAGATGGAGGGCACAAGGAGAAGGGGACGGCAGAGGACGAGATGGTTGGACAGTGTTTTCAAAGCTGCCAACATGAAGTTGACGAAACTGCGGGAGGAAGTGGAAGACAGGAGTACCTGGCGTGCTCTGGTCCATGGGGGCACAAAGAGTCGGACACGACTAAACGACTAAACAACAACAATTTAAAAGGATTTTTTAAATTAAAAAAACCAGCAGTTAAAAAAGCATACATTATAAAACAAAATTACATATTAAAATGCACATCAACTTTACGTATCAGGGGGTTTGACATGCACACACCTGATTTATCTATTATGTTGGGTAAGTTGATGGATGCATTTTAAGTTTTTGCAGCTAATAATCCGAAACCCAAAGGAGAAGAGGTGTGCAATACAGCATGTGAAATTCAGAAGAGACTGAGCCAGAGATTCACTATCTACTGTTGTGCCCAAGATCATTGAAAGTAAATTTCCGCCGCCACCCCAAAAACCCCCACAAGAAGCAAAAATTAATAATAATACCAGAGGCCACAGAGAATTGCTACTAAAAAAAAAGGGAAGATCATAACCAGGTATGTTTCATACACAAAGGGCATAGCTAGCAGCTGTGTGGCACCGCAAGGGGTGTTGTGAAATGGGATAGGTCTCTACAAGCCTTTTGTGTGAAGCCAAGAGTTTGGGCCAGGTTCTCTCTCTACCAGAATTTAATTTAAATTGGGGCTCCTTAGGCCTCAAACTCTGTTTTCAGTGCCAGATCTCAGCGTTGAAACAGACAGTGGTTAATGTGGGGTAAGTGGGAGCAAGGCCCCCTCCATCGGCTGGGCTGACGGAACCAGCTCCACTTGGCTCCTCCTCTTCCTCAACTGTTTGCAAACAAGTTGGTCGTCATGAGAACGTTGCAACTGGAAGAACCAGTGTCTCTCAGTTTGCTTGTTTCCCTCTCCCCTCCTCGTCCCATTTTCCTTTCGTGACTGTGCTCTAGATAGTCCCTGCCATCAGATCTATGTCATTTGTTACTGGACTTATGCAAACCACTTGGGAGACTGAAAGGTGTGGTTGTTGTTGTTGTTGTTTAGTCGTTTAGTCGTGTCCGACTCTTCATGACCCCATGGACCAGAGCACGCCAGGCACTCCTGTCTTCCACTGCCTCCCGCAGTTTGGTCAAACTCATGCTGGTAGCTTCAAGAACACTGTCCAACCATCTCATCCTCTGTCATCCCTTTCTCCTTGTGCCCTCCATCTTTCCCAACATCAGGGTCTTTTCCAGGGAGTCTTCTCTTCTCATGAGGTGGCCAAAGTATTGGAGCCTCAACTTCAGGATCTGTCCTTCCAGTGAGCACTCAGGGCTGATTTCCTTCAGAATGGATAGGTTTGATCTTCTTGCAGTCCATGGGACTCTCAAGAGTCTCCTCCAGCACCATAATTCAAAAGCATCAAAAACACTTTAAAGAAATAAATAGGTTCCATTTCTTTTGCATAATCCAGTTCTGGTTGGGGTGGGTGTGTGTGTGTGTGTGTGTGTGTGTGTGTGTGTAGTTGCCTAATTCAGCCTTCTGCCTTCCAAACAACCTTGTGTGGACTTCAGAAGCTGGCAGCCTCTCAAAGCTTCTTCCTTTAGCCCCTTCCCCATTTCCCTACAAATCCTGGGTAAATAGAGCGGCTTTCTGCTGCCCTCTACTGTTGTTTTTTTTATCCAAAAACAAAGGACAGACTGCATTTTTCATTTGCAGCTAGGATTTGGGGACAAAATCTGTTTCCGTTTGCATTTCAATGTGCACCAAATAATTGGTACTTTCCAAAACGATGCACAAACCAAAAGGCAGCCGTACTTCTGTACTTCTCCAAATTACGTGGTGCAGTTCTCCAACCTGAGTACGCTAGGGGAAAGTGTGCAAAAGAGATGCATATTAGTAAAAATAGCATGACATCTGGGGAAATAGGGACGCGGGTGGCGCTGTGGGTTAAACCACAGAGCCTAGGACTTGCTGATCAGAAGGTCGGCAGTTCAAATCCCTGCATTGGGATGAGCTCCCGTTGCTCGGTCCCAGCTCCTGCCAACCTAGCAGTTCGAAAGCACGTCAAAGTGCAAGTAGATAAATAGGTACCGCTCTGGGGGGGAAGGTAAACGGCGTTTCCGTGCGCTGCTCTGGTTGGCCAGAAGCGGCTTAGTCATGCTGGCCACATGACCTGGAAGCTGTACGCCGACTCCCTCAGCCAGTAAAGTGAGATGAGCGCCGCAACCCCAGAGTCTGCCACAACTGGACCTAATGGTCAGGGGTCTCTTTACCTTTACCTGGGGAAATATTTCGCAGGATGGGTATGTTGACGGATTTTCACAAGGCCATTTCTCTATACATAAGCAATTTCCAAATGGATGAAGGAATATTGAGGAGTGGGAAAATAAGAAGGTGGGGTCAGGGAGTGGTTTAATCTGCACCATATGGGATCTGTGCCTTTTTCTCCTGCTAAGCACAGAGGGCATCTTCATCTCCTGTTGTGGGCAGAGCCGGCCCACACATGAGGCAAGGTGAGGCAGCTGCCTTGGGCGGCAGGATCCACAGAGGCAGCAGAGTTGGCCTCCAAGGAATGCATCTCCTGTTGCTGCCACTGGAGGCTGGATCTTCCACCTCCTATAGACCCCAATGCTGCCTCTATAGTGGACTCTTGGTGAACAGGAGGTGCTGCTGGTCTCCTCCCACCCGACTTCCCAATACAGTGGTACCTTGGTTCTCAAACTTAATCTGTTCCGGAAGTCCGTTCCAAAACTAAAGCATTCCAAAACCAAGGCACACTTTCCCATAGAAAGCAATGCAAAATGGATTAATCCATTCCAGACTTCTAAAAACAACCCCTAAAACAGCAATTTCACATGGATTTTACTATCTAATGAGACCATTGGTCCGTAAAATGAAAGCAATAAACAATGTACTGCAGTCACACAATCAATCAATCTGTAGCTGAACTGGGTTCCACACAGTCACAAAAATGGAAACAAAGAGCCGCAAAAACAAAATAGCAAAATAAATAGCAAAAACAGACAGACCTCAGCGTAACACTCAAAACCGAAGTGTGGCACTCAAAATGGAGCACATTCGACTTCCGAAAAAAGTTCACAAACCAGAACACTTAAGGGTTTGCAGTGTTTGGGTTTCAAGTTGTCTGAGTACCAAGGTACCACTGTATAGATCTTTATGTCCCCCTCATTCCCTTGTTTAGATTTCATTATTATTATTTCCCCCCATAATACAGTAAAATTTGAAACAGGAAAAGAAGTGAAAGGGACAACAGAAATAAAGAAAGGAAAGAGAGAAGGATGAATAAGATAAAGAAAGGAAAATAAACATCAGCAAAAGATGCAAGAGAAGGACTTCCGATTTTCTATCGACCGGTTATAGATATAAAAAGACAATTATTCAAAACCTTCCATCCATGTGAACATCCGTCTTCTCCACTTTCTGTTCAACAATATTTCTTTTAAGCCAAGGTGTCTCGGAATCATTCATATCTTTTTCCTACGAAAAGTCCAAGATAGGTTCCCTAATTGTTAGTATTAATAATAAATGCTAACCATATTTTATCTTTTAACTTTACCTCTATTAATCCCCACCACCACCATTATTGCATATTGGATAATACTAAATTCTTCCACCCATATCCACATCAAAACCTCTCCATTGTGATCACGCATTGCGCCAGTATTCCGTTTTTGTTTCTCGTTATAATCTGCTAGTTCATGTCCAGTTCCGTACGTTCCGTTTCATTTCCTGTTGTATTTCATTTCATAAAGTCATAAAATCGTAGAGTCGGAAGGGACCCCGAGGGCCATCTAGTCCAACCCCCTACGATGCAGGAATCTCAACTAAAGCATCCATGACAGATGGCCATCCAACCTCCAAGGAAGGAGAAGCCACAACCTCCTGAGGGTCTGGTTTCACTGTCGAACAGCTCTTGCCATCAGAAAATTCTTCCTGATGTAGGAATCTCCTTTCCTGTTGTGTTTCCTGTTGTGCCAGAATCTCCTTTCCTGTTGTGTTTATGATAGCATCCCGATCTCCTCCTCTGGGATTTTTCGTTTTCAATTTTTTCCCCAGTCTCTTTCCAAAGAGAGCACCATTACCTTAAGAGCATCATTCTCTCCAATCCAATCCAATTTGAAAGAAAATTATGTTCCAACCAAAGAAGAATGGCTGAA